AGTTTATTCCTTAAAATTTAGAAATTTATCAGATTTAGATCTTCTTGATACGTGGCTGATACGTGGCTGATCAATTTTATATTGGTCTCAAACTGCAATGGCTAACAAAACAAAATCATCTATTTCCTGATCACACCTATACATTGTAAACACGCTTTTCATGAATAATAAATTCATATGTAAAATCATTCCTTTCTTGTCAAAATACTATTTTTGTCCCTCTCTGTATCAACTGTGAAGAATTTTTTGATCAAAATCTTCAATCCAGAATGCAGTTTCATTGTTTAAAGGCTATAAATAAAGCCTAAAATTTCTCATTAGATATTTTATATATTTAAAAACATCCTTAGATAGAGTAATTTCCAAGTCATAAATTGAATCTGCATCTTGATAGAACAAAATGGCGTGGCTAAATTTTGTTGCCATTATTGCATGCGCTATCTTTTGCTCTTTATCGATACAGTATTTTATTTTGGTTATTCCATAAGCAACATCATGCAAAATACCGCTTGTAAATATAAAATCACAGAAATGTTTACACTTTGTTTGATCAAGTCTAGAACAAGTAAACACTTTCTTCGGTGGAATCTTCTTTTTATTAGATGCATACCATTTTCTTGCTATTTTTATACGATTCTTAGTACATTCTCTTTGACAGACTCTTTGGTTTTTACAGACTCTTTGGTCTACATAGTATGAGTTAATAATGAGAGGATAACTAACTTTTTTTATGGAATCATTTTGTTTATTTACTCTCTGAGTACAAATAAATTCATCTTGGAGAGAGGACTACTTATTTCAACAACATTTTTACTTATAAAAATAATGATAAGTAGTCTCTCTAGTCCAGAAGTTTCTGCAAACTTTTCTTTCATTAAGTTTTCGGAAAAAATATATATGCTTTTTTATTTATCTTTTATAGTATCTTTCAAATATTTAAACTTCCTTTTTAATCTACATTTTATTAAAATTGCATTAAGAACTTTAATTATACTCTTACTGCTTCTAAGAGTCTAAAATTTCTTGCGAAGTACTAATTTTATTGGAATCAAACTTTTTTCTGGAATAGCAGATATCAGATATGTTTAGCAGATATCAGATATCATAAACTGCGGATTTTAAAACTGCGGAAACTAACGGATAAAGCAGTTTCTTGTTTTAAATGAGTAAAACAAAGCATTCCAACAATCGAAAATGCTTCATTGTATTTCAACAATCAAAAATGCTTCATTATATCGCTTAGACAATAGTAAGAAGACATATATTGGTAATGCTCTTAAAGTGAAAGATTCTTTTCTTTTTATATTTAGGCAATGAGGATGAAATGATGTTTTAGGAAAACTCGGGGAACACCGAAGGTATAAAAGCTCATATTTGTTCATCCTTGTCAAGATTTTACGGTTATTTGATATAAGTCAAATAACCGTAAAATCTAATATTTTGTTACCGTAAAATAAAATATTTTGTTTCCAAACACTATTATCGTTACATTCCAAGATAGTCATTGTTAGATTGTTAGATCGCATTACATAAAAACAATTTTTTAACCAATTATTATATTAATAGTTTAAAAAATTATTTTTAGGTAATACTTTAAAATAACACACTTAAAAGTGTGTTATTTAGAGCATTGTTTATTATAGGGTTTTTGCCATTTAAAAAAAAGTTTTCAAGTTTGAAATATATTGTTGACATTATTAATACCCAGCAAACATTGTGGGAGTGATTTTTCAAGACATTTTAGACGGTAAATTAAAATTTTGTTTAACGATAACTAAGTTGACTATTAGAAGCATTATGAGCAGCAAACAAATAAGTTTCTAACATGTGGTATAGTAGCTAGTTATCTGTTAGCCACTTTTGGCGGCTGTCACAAATGGTCGACTAAGTAATCGAGGAGCAAAACTTCAGTGGACCGTTCAAAATACCTATCCAGCAAACAGGTTTATACAAATTTAAACAGGTTATATTACAGAATTTCAGTAGATCTATAAACGCATTTTCAGCAGTCCACTCTTTAATTTCTTCTTTACTCGGCCTATTCCCTTACGGAAATATTCCATGGAAAACCCATGGAATTCCATGAGTAAACCATGGTTTTCCCATAAAAAACTGGAATTTCCATGGGTGAATTTCATGAAAATTGAAATCCCATAAAATTTCCATGATTTTTTTTTCATAGCGTTCTATATAAATGTTACTAACATGCAGGTAAAATTTATATATGTGTATAAATCTTTTCATTTTAAGCTTATCATTTCATTTAAATTACTACATTATTAACAGACAGGTTTGACTTGCTATATAAATTTTTAATTTATTTATTTAGCCGTTCATCAACAAATTCGGTGCTTTATAATATATTTAAAGGTGGTAAGGACGTGAAGAAAACAGGTTTGTAAATGATGTTGTACATCATGCAGGTAGCTCAGAAGAAGAAGTAAGTTTTTTTTTTAAATTACAAAAGTAAATATATAATATAATATTTGTTGCTTCCTTGTTCTATATAAATGTTTCTAACATGCAGGTAACATTTATATATGTATTAGTTTGAATAAATCATTTTAATTAAGTTACATTATAAGCAGGAATGTTTGACTGGAAATATAAACGATGTTGTACATAATGCAGATAGCTTAGGGGAAAAAGAGGTAATAATCTAATAATTGTTATTTATAAATAATGATATATTCATTGCTACTTTTTTCTATATAAATGTTACCTAACATTTGGCAACATTCATAATTGTGTATAATGCCTAATTATAAAGTAAGTTATAATAGATAATAATTATTAGTAAAATCAGTAAATAAAGAAAACTAGTTAGAATGTATATAATAGTTGTATGATGTATTGTCTAGATTGGTGAAATGGAGAATGAGACTAACTACGGTGAAAAAATAATGCATATCAAAATGTGAATGGTACTTTGTTTGACATCTACCTGTTTCTACAGACACAATGCAGTCGCACTTATAAATGGGCTTGTTGTTTTTTTAGATTGAATATGTTGTATTGATGGTCCTTTTTAACTTGTTAAAACTTTAAGTTATTATCAAATTTATATATACTATTTTTATCAAATAGTTAATATAAAATAATAAACATGTAAATTGTTTTATTTTCTGTAAAAAACTTTTTCTTGATATATTTCAATTGTTTATCACTATGTATATCACTTTTAGTATTATATTACTTGTAATTTTTTGTTTTATTTATTTTCAGTATGTTATACATATGCATGCATTAAATATTGTGGGGAAGGGGAAGTTTTGATGTTTTAGGTGTATTATAGCTATTATTTTTCAAAGATTTGTAGGATTTAACAAGATTTAAATTTTATTTATTGATTTTATTTGGAGAAAGCGATCCCATAGATTAAGAGAACTCAATAATATTAGTGTGATAAAATTTGCTTTTATGATTTAATACGAGAATTCAAATAACATTAGATCAAAAAAACTTGAAAACAAATCATGCTTTTTTACCATGAAAAATCCATGAGTTTTCCTTGAAAAGGTGTTCCTAATACCTATGAAAATTCCATGGTTTTTTCCATGGATGGAAATCTCATTGAATATCCATGGTATTTGGAACACTTTTCCATGAAATTTTTCATGAGAAACTCACGGGTTTTTCATGGAAAACTCATGGAGATCTCATAGGAAACTCATGGATTTCCCATGGAAAACTTATGGGTTTCCCATGAAAACGTGGTTTTTCCATGGTTTTTTTTCATGGGTTTTTTCATGGGAATTTTCCGTAAGGGTTCTTAAAGTCTTAAAATCATAAAAGTGACAAAATGGTTGTTGTCTTACCTGGAACTTAAAATTTGTTGGTTAACTGATAAACGCATCAAGAGAAGTTTGAGTACGTACACTAAAAACTATATTTTTTCGTTTATGAAGAAATGAGCTTTATTCCTAGCTTTTTCATGAAAGATCTTTCTCTTGAGCTCTTTTGGGCAATATCTGTATGAAAGCCACATAAGACCTGACCGTAGGCAATCACTGACCGTAGGCAATCATATGTGCTTTATTAATGAAGTTGAAGGTTGCTTTCTAGTGAGATTCTCAATAAGATTCTTTATAAGCTTCATAAGCTTTATATCATAGTTTAAAAAGATTAAACTTAAAAAAAATTTTAATTAAAGTAATTTGAACTTCAAAATTGTCAAACTGATGAATTTAAATAACTGAATTCATTTCACCAAAGATTTTACATCATTTAATTGATTAGCAGTTGGATCAATATCACGAAGCTTCTGTAACGATACAAAAATTTTCATGGGTTCTCTAACTAAAGGCCTAACAGCCTAAATGCGTGTATCCCCACGGGTTTATGAGACCTGATGAGACAAACAAGCTTTTTTGATCAAGATTTTTTTTTATTGAATAGAACTTGCACTAAGAAGATTGCAAAACAATTGAACCCGGCTCAAATATTAATTGACTTCCACAGAAGATTAGTGATTAGTGAACTAATTGGGAAATCAAGGTAACGAAGTAATTAATATTTTAAAAAAGTAACTTGAGGAACAGAATGTAATAGCAGTTTAAATGCATTATCTAATGGAAACCACTCAGCTTATTGACTATTGACCATTTCCTGACATCTTGATTATCAATATTGTTAATAGCATAAAGTATTATGATTATTTTTCATATATAAATAGTAAAAGATTACTCTCTTTACCCCCGTCCCTTCTAGCTCTTTAAACTTTTTTTAATAGATAATGTTTAGTTCTTTCTTTTGCTTACTTTAAAAAGTAAAGGGCAAGTCTTTCTTTATGTAAACATAAAATGTAAAAACACAACTTGTAAAACGTCAAGTAACTTGTAAACCCTCTGTCCACATTCGTAACTGTTGTCATGTTTCTACCGAATTTCGTTTAAAGTTCGTATATAAAATTTCTAGAACTTTCTCCCTCCTCCAGCTAAGAAAGAAGAAATATAAAAAATTTTGTGCTTTTAATTATAATTTACAATGAATTTATTTACCTTTATTTATTGCGTTCACTGGGCTGCTCAGTGTTAATAAATCACAATTTTCTCAAAACAATAGATTAATTCCAAATAGATGATGTCATAGATATTATAAATCCAAACTACTGTAACTGTTTTCCAGCAGCAATACGTATAAATCTATTGCAACAAGGCATATAAAAATCATTTGATAAAAATCTTGTTTTATGTGATATAATACCATTTAACTTAAAAACTCATCTTTTCAAAAAAAGATAATTTAATTTTTGTGGTCTAATATCTCCAACTATTACAGTTTTTTTTACATAAAATATAATTATTTTTATATTGTTTTATTTATTTAAATAGTTATTTAGATTAAGTACTGACTTGCTAAAAAATTGTATGCATATAAGCAGCAAATTTTTAATTTGAGCATATGAAATTCTTTTTATTTTTTTACTCATCGTCTGCCAACATTTGGAGATTACTTCCGTCGAAAAGCCGACAACGTACAATAAACTTTCTTTTTTTTATATGTTTAAGGTTACTTTAGATGCTTTTTCTGAAAACAAAAAACTACTTGGATTTTTGAAAACAGACATATAAGTACGGTATAAATATATTTACTAAATATAACATATTGATGGAGTTTCCTTAGTTAGCAAAATGCGTTAACAAACATTTACACAAGAAGGTTTTTTATCTGGAATACCATTTACGCCCAGAACGACAACTGGTTTAACAAACTAAACATATTTAGAGAATTCTATTTGCAATCTTTTAACTATTTATTTAAAACAGTAATCCAAACTTATGGAAATAAATGTGAGGTAATGAATTATAAAATAAAAAAGTTAATTAAATGCATACTTAAAAAATGCAAACCGATTTGCCTTAACCATATGAAATATGACTTTGATTTCATATAAAAGACGAATCTAGTTTAAAAATGTTTGTAGACATAGTAAAAATGAATTAAAAAAAGTTTCTGTTTGGTTTAAACAAAATAGATTGTCTCTAAATATAGAAAAAACTAAATGGACACTTTTTTATCCACCTTTAAAATACCAGAAACTGCCCCATATCATGCCAGACCTTCTAATTGATAATATAATAATAAAAAGAGAAAAAGTTACTAAATTTCTTGGAGTATATATTGATGAAAACCTATCTTGGAGAAATCATATTGATAATAGCTCCAACAAAATTGCTAAATGCATCGGAATTCTCTATAAAGCAAGAAATATATTAAGTAAACACCAGTTAACACAATTATATTATTCATTTATACATTGTCATATAAACTACACGAATATTATATGGGGAAGCACTCACAGAACAAAGCTAAAATCTCTTTACCTTCATCAGAAACACGCAACTCGCGTAATAAATTTTAAAAATCGGTTTTTTCACACGAAACAACTTTTTAAAGAAATGAATATTTTAAATGTATATCAACTAAATGTCTTTAATATTTTATGTTTCATGTTTAAATGTAGAGAAAATTTGTCGCCAAATGTATTACAAATTTTTTATTGTATGAAACCTAAAAACAAATATAATTTTTGAATTAATAATAAAAGCAAAGACCAGTTTTTTGTTTCTTACCGAGGTCCTTATCTCTGGAACAAAATAGTCTTACCAAATTTTGATTTTTCAACCCAAATGACTTTTGCTTCATTCAAACAGAAACTTAAAAAAATTATATTTTTAATTGAAAATATCTTGATTTATTTTTAATTGCCTTTTTTTTTTGTTTTGTTTTTGTTGTTGTTTTATTTTGTATATTATTTGGTTTAAAATTTTATCTTGACTTTTTAACATTTTATCTTGGTTTTTAAATATTTTTGCATAGAGGTGTATTATTATTTCACTACAGACATTGTATTTTTATTAAAAGTTAACCATATATTGTAAAGTGCTTCATGACAAGATCCTCATGATCTTCTAGAAGTCCTGTCGTTACTAATGTAAAAAATTGTAAAATATATTTAGTTATTGTAATATTAAACGGCAAAAATAAAAAATAAATAAAAAAAAATTAAAAAAAAGTTTTTACATATTTTCCTTTTTTATTTTGATAATTTTTTAATTATTTTGTTATTCTTAAGTCGCGACTCATGTATCAATCCTATTTTTCGTATTAAGAGTTTACTTTTATGAGCCGATTATCAAATATTTTTATGAGCGGACTGGCAAATATTTTAGTCGGGAAAAACGTAAAAACAATTTTTAAAGGAAATGCATGTAAACTGCTAATCAGTTTATAAACCATATTTATCATTTACAAAGAAATCTACATTTGCTTCCAAGGGACACAAAAAATTCCTGGATCCGTCACTGCTTTCATGGGCCAGTTCTTTAGTAATTTAACAAATTTTGTCTTAAACAAATAACATTTGAAATCAGGTTCAATTTTAAGAGGAAAAAACAACATTATTATTTTTTTAATTTTTGTTTTAGAATAATTTTGCCCAGCTTAATTTTAGCTTATTCAAAAATTTGTTAAACTATTTGTGAAAAACTATATATATTTAAAATATAGGAAATACATCTTTGTAGAATTTAAAAAATATTTCATATTTGTCTTTAATTTTATATTTCAATTTTTTTAAGTTATTAAATTTTTTAGTAGGCTTTTCTAAATTTGTGAGATTTTTCATGTAAGAAAAACTTTGCGGTATTGGATATCAGTGTTAGTAGCATGGCAGTATGAAATTAACGAAATTAACTTTTTTGTAATAATAAATAACAAAGGTTATAGGAGAATAATCTCGTTCGGTTCTAAGCAACGGTAAACAGTGTTTTCATATATATATATATATATATATATATATATATATATATATATATATATATATATATATATATATATATATATATATATATATATATATATATATATATATATATATATATATATATATATATATATATATATATATATATATATATATATATATATATATATATATATATATATATGTAACAAATAAAGAGTTACATATATATATATATATATATATGTAACTCTTTATTTGTTGTTTAAGAAATGGTTCGAACATACATAAGGAAAACTACTAGAGGTGTTAATGGTAATTGGACCGGTAAAAATCTATGTTTAGCGTTTAAAGCTGTGCAAAAAAACAGTAGTAGTGTAAATCAAGCATCAACGAATTTTGGAATTCCTGAATCCACATTTCGTCGTTATATACGCAAGTCTCCAGACAAGTATCTATTCAATAATGGAAGATTCCGCAAAGTATATTCTGATAAAATGGAAAAGTCTTTGATTGACTACATTGTTCAGCTCAGTACGTGTTACTATGGATTTACAGCTCTGCAGCTTAGGCAGTTAGCTTATGAGTTTGCTGAACAAAACAACTTGCCTCACTGTTTTGACTACAATACAAAACTTGAAGGTAAAGATTGGCTTGCAAGTTTTATGAAAAAAAACAGTCAGATATCACTAAAGGTACCAGAGAAGACATCACTTGCTAGAATGCAGGGGTTTAACGAGACTCAGGTTATGAAGTTTTTTGATCTTCTTCAGAAGTTGTTACTTAAGCATAAGTTTTCAGCCAGTAGAATATACATTGTAGATGAAACAAGTGTGTCCACTGTACCAACAAAGCTTTCAAAAATACTCTGGAAAAAAGGGGTAAAAAGAGTAGCTAAAGTTATAAGTGCAGAAAGAGGAAAAACTGTAACTTTAGTGTGCACTATGAATGCGATCGGTAATTATGTTCCTCCTGCATTTATATCTCTACGTAAAAAAATGCGCTATGAGTTCCTGGATGATGCAACATCAGATTCATTTGATTTGGCTAACAAATCAGGATGGATAACAGAAGAACTTTTTCCAGAGTATCTGAAGCATTTTTCTAAACACACGAGACCAACCCAAAATGGTCCAGTTTTATTTATTCTAGACAGTCATTCATCACAACTTAGTTTGGCCGTCATAGATTCTAATATAGGCTTTAATCTAATATAGTCATGTTAACACTTCCACTGCATGGGAGTCACAGGATGCAACCTTTGGATGTCACTTTTTTTGGACCTTTTAAAACATATTTTTGTCAAGTGACAATTGGATGAAAAGTCATCCAGGCAGAGCAATTACATAGGCTCAAATTGGCTAATTAGTTATGGATGCTTTTGATCGAGCTGCTACAGCAGGAATACCTAAAAAGGGTTTTTTAGAAACTGGAATTTGGCCTTTCAATCAAAATATATTTGCTGCTGTAGATTTTGCTCCATCTTTGACCAGTGATTGCTCACCTCAGTTAACTGTACAAATTCAATCGGATTCTCAAGTATCTGAAATATCTGGGCTAGTTCAATCTAGCATGCATGTTGAACAACCATTAGAAATAGATTCTAAATCTCTTAGGACATTGACATCAGATCAGCATTTGTTGCAGGTCATGGAGCCATCAACAATATTTGTCACACCTGTAGTTATAAAACCAATCCCTGTTTCACATCGAGTTCAACAGCTGTCTTGTCGTAAACGAGTGTCACAAGGTTCTGTAGTTGCTAGAAATTCTCTATTTAAAAATCAAGTTAAATTAAAAGAAAGTGTGAAGAAAGCACAGGTTGATAAAAAAAATGAAAGAGCAAAAAAAAATTGTTGAAGAAAGTGGAATTGGGGCTATCTGGTGAAAAAAAAGCTGCTTTACTAACAAAGAAATCTAAATGATTTGCAGAAGGCAATACATTGGAGAAAAATAAGCCTCAGTCAAATGAAGCACCATGTAGACTTGTCAGTGGAAAGCAATTCAACAAAGAGCTTAACCAAACTGAAGATGAACCACCATGTTTGTGTAGTTATTGCGGATATGTTTTTGGAGATGAAATGGATCCATTATTTGAAGACGACTTGCTAAGCTGTAAACAATGTTATAACTGGGCTAATTAAAGTTGCGGTACTGTCATTGGCAGTTTTACTTGTAATGGCTGCCAATCGGAAAATCTTCAAAGTAATGCAAAAAGCAAAAGAAAATAGAAATTTTTTAAGAGAATTTTAAGTTTCCTGTTGATGTGGGGCAAAAAAAAAATGTATTTTAATAATTTTTGGTTATTAAATTTGTATTATTGGTATCGAGTGTGTTTTATTTTGCATTATGTGATAGTTTTAAGATTTGTATTGAGAAGTTATAGTTTTAAGTTTGTGTTGTTTTCATGTTATGAGATTTAAAAATGCTGTTAGTCAGTGATTTGGCTATATGGTGTAAGGTTGGTCAACTTTATTTCAAGTGTATGTATTCAGTTTTAAACTGCAGTATATTATTGGCATATTTATAGGGCGTTAAATATTATTAGGTGCTATGGGTACAGCTACTTCAATTAGGTAAAGAATGAGTAATCTGGCTTTGTTTTGCAGTTAATTGAGTTACACCTAATTACATTTTCCAATGTCTAATTGATTGTGAATTGGAAAACGCAGTTCCAGTCATCTTGCCCCACTATCGGGGCAAGATGAAAAAATTAAGGACTTTTTTATTTTGTTTATTTGGGTATGTTTCTATTGTAATTAACTAAATACCTTGGCGGATATTAAAAGATTATAGTATCAAATACATACTGACAAAATATTAGTGAGCTATCACTGGTAGTCTTGCAGGAAACAAGGATTTTTGAAACGTTCGCCATGTTGCCCCGTCTTCCCCTATATATTTATAGGGTAGATTAGGGTAAAATGAGCACCTTAAGCGAAAATAGAAATATTTTAAAAAATAATTATACTGGATCCAAAATTTTTGCAAATAAACAATTTTTAGGGATCCCTACTCATGATGATCCGCTTAGATATTTGGGCGCCCAAATTTTTTTCTTAAAAACACAGAGGTTTTAAAAAAGTAGCAAAATTGCTCATATTACCAAGACCACTTGTTAATATGAGCACTTTAAATTGGCTTTAAATAAAATATAGCAAAAACATTTGCTAAAAAGTATAATCTTTTTTGTACTAAAAAGTAGAAAATAAACTTTTTAATTTAAATTTAATAGTTCCGTAAACTAAAGATTGAGAGGTATATTTCTAAATAAACATTGCGCAGACCTGTCAATCTTTAGTTTACGAAGCTATTAAATTTAAATTAAAAAGTTTATTTTCTACTTTTAAGTACAAAAAAGATTATACTTTTTAGCAAATGTTTTTGCTATATTTTATTTTCTACTTTTTAGTATCAACAAAGAGTTACGATATATTAGTATGAAACAAAATTTTTTTGTCAATAAAAGTATTTTTAAAAGATTAAAAAAAAAAAATACAAACCCACAAGCAAATTTTAAAATAAAAAGTATTTATACTTTTTTTACCTCCTAATTATTTTGTGATTAATTAAAGTAAAAAAGGGAGACAGAACATAAAAAATTTTTATGTTCCGCCTCCGATGGCATCCGCTTTACTAGTGACGGCTACAGTCAGATATTTTTTTGGAGGCAAAACATTTTTTAGGCCGACGCCAAATGTGAAGGAACTCTGAGGCGGAAGCCAAAGGTGGCCGCCTTCAGTAGAAATTTTGGAGGCAAACCATTTGAAGGCCACCTCCTATAGCTTTTGCCTCCCAGCTAGCTGCGGCCGATAAATTGGAGGCGGAAATATTCGCCTACCGGCGGCAGATGTAATGAAAATTTGAACGTTTGCCTTTACGTTAACGAGCAATTAAATCATTAACTCAGAACAAATGATAAATATCTGACATCAAAGTATTGTTTTCAATGATTTATTGACTATTTAAAAATTTTGAAAGCGGTCTTGGACTATCGAATAAATTTTTAACTTTTAAACGTTTGAAACTTTTAATCGCTTAATTTTAAAACGCGTAAAAGTAGATGAGTCTATGTTTTAAAATTATAGAGTAAAATATAAATATATTTAAAAAAGTATTTATATTAAAAGTTTATAAATTTTATTTTTTTTTTGGTTGTAATTTGGCAAAACTATTAGCATAATACAGCGTAGTCGCAAACTTTTTATAAACATTCGCAGTTATTTTTTCAATAACTTTTACAATATTCAATTATTAAGAATAATTATTTAACATAAGTATTTAACGTAATTTTAGCATGTCGACTTGTTTTAAAAAACTTTTACCAAAATCAGTCAACTTTTTTTTTCAGTCAAGAAGATTTATTTGCCAATGGCATAGAAGTAAAATTTCCAACTTTTAACTTTTTTTTTTTTTTTTTTGAGAACTTTTTTAAATACTGCACATAATGAGAACTTTTTTTTTTTGAGAACTTTTTTAAATACTGCACAAAATGAGAACTTTTTTAAATACTGCACATAATCATATAAATGAAATTTGATGTCAAATATTTAACATTTCTTTCTAGTTAATATTTAATTGCATTAAAGCAAACGAGCAATTATTTTTCATTACATCCGCCGGCGCACTATGCGTTGCTCTTATACAAAATGAGGAAATAGGCATATAAATAAAGAAGGACTTAAAATATTTAACTTATTTTTTCACAAGACATCAAATTTTTATTTATATTTCTATATTTAAAAGAATCATATTCGGTTTTCATAAAAAAACAATTTATTGTATTTTTTTTCGGTTAGTCCGGACTAATTCTAGATTTGTCCGGAAAACTACACAAGTCCGGATGATTTTATTCATAAAAAAGTAGGCGCCTATATTTTATAGAATTTTACAAACTATGTATATGAACACTATTTCAAAATAAACAGTATCATCGAATATAATAAACAACTATGATGTCATATGATACTTGACTCTTTGCACTCTTTCACAGTTTCTCAACGTTCTATTCTAATAGATGTTTTTAATAACTTGTGGCTATGAAAATAGCCGTTTTTTAAAAATTCAACGCAGAACAGCTCATCAGTATGATTCTTCATGGTCTTACTTCCTAAAATAGTTAATTGCTTGTTAAAATTGATTAAATAATTTCTTAAATTTATTTTTAAAAACATAAAGAAAAAAAAACAAAAACGCAACTTTGAATTGTTAAGTAACCAAAATTATGAGATTGCCTAACCAAAAAAAAAATCAATCAAAACTATTAACAATATTAATAATAAAACTATTTTACCTTTATTTTAAGCAGTTATCAGAAGAACTGTCACTTTGCTTTCTTAAACTATTTTGTTTTCACTCTTTTTTTATCCATTTTGTTTTTTTTGCAAAAGAGGTACATATCAGATGTCATAAAAAAATAATTAGCTGTATCCCTAGTGTTTTCTGCAAAAGAGGTTAAACGAGCATGACCAATTCAGCAGTTTTGTTCTCCTTATTTCTGGCTTCAATAGCACTCTCAGACAAAGAACCTATCGGATACTTAAAATACCTTATAAAAGAAGTACCATGAACTACCACTCTATGCACAGATTGTGACATAGGTATGGTTTTTAAAAATTTATCATTAGTTATAAGTGCAAATAGATGTTCAGATTTCTGTTTGAAAACCTTTATATCCGGTCTTGTAGTTGTTCTGTTTATATCAATGAGTAAATCTCGAAACAACTTAATCATTCTGATATCCAAGTTTAAAATTCTCCCTGTCACAATCGGGTTATTAAAAAATTTGCGAGCAACATTTCCAGAATTGGTTGTTCCACATCTTTTCCTGACAAAAGAAACCCTTATATTCAGTTGTATCTTGAATAAATGCTGGAATTTTTTTTGTTTTCAATAAATTCTTTACTCTTTTGTGATGGAATATTTCTTCCTTGCTTAACAGCTGGGAGTTTACAAGCAGTATTGAAAATCCACTTCATACAGCGCATCCATAGATGAAGACTGCAAATTCCGAGTTTCAAAACATACTTGTTTAAATTAATATTTTTTTTCCAAATAGTTTTCAAGTTAAACTCTTTAGAATTTGCAAGGCATACATGGCAGGACTGAGATGAAATTTTTTTTTAAGCATATTTGAGACAACAGCGTTTAGTGTTTTGCCATCATTAATTGTGGTATAAATAGTTGACAAACTAGACTTTACTACAAAAGTACTTTCACCAAGTTTAAATTCAATATTCTTCAATAAAAAAATTCCATTTTTCAAATGTTCAAATTTTTCCTGAATAAAACTAGCAGTCTCTTTTTGCAGATGCAACCCGTCATCTTTTTGAAGATGACGGGTTGCATCTGGACTATTTGGAATTAAATTTTTCCATATTATTTTTTCTCCACTTCGGATCTCCAGCAGTACAAACACTATACTATACACAGAGCGATCATCTACACCTCTTTTCATAGTTGCTAAATTTTGAAACTCAGATTGATCACTTTGACCATCACCTCCTACTTTTCAAATAATTTGTACATTATCACGCTCTTCTTGTGATAAACTCATTATGCAGTTACTTTCATAATCCAAAAGATATTCAAACACTCTAGAAACTGAATGCTTTATCATATGGAAAAGACTACATTTTACCTCGGTTTCAGAATATTCAACCTGTTCTATATATGTCAATTTTTTGTATTGTTTCAACTTGGTTAAACCTGGAGGAACAAAATGACGATTATGAGTCACTATATTTTTAAATTCAGTCCATGTTCTATCTGTAAGTTTTAAATTACAAAGAGCTTGCAATGACAAATTTGAACCATATAAAATAGCCCTACCATCAGTAGAAGAATTAGATTTAAACCTTTTGACAGCATGCTGCAGTTCTTCCACCTCTTGTTCTCTAAGACTATCTGTTCTTTTACGCTTCATCCTGTTTGTAAGCTTAATAAAAGACTTTCTAGGTTTTGGTGTACAAGATGTATTGACTGCAGATGATTTAGGTACTCTACATGGTACACTATAAATAATAAAAAAATACATTGAAACATATATACATTTTGAAGGTTTTGTGAAACATAGTCAAACAATATGTATGTGTGTGTGCAAAATAAAAAGGGGGAGATACATTTATCTATTCATACCTGTTTACATTGGATCCATGAGTACGTAGCAGTAATTCCCCTTCTTTTATTTTACGCTCACCCTGCTTGATGAGTTGATTACCCTGTTTAATCAGATTTTCACCTTTCCTAATTATTTGCAGTTCTTCCTCATGTGTTCTAATCTCTTTTTCAGAATCTTTTTCTAATCTACACGCACAAGTATAATATATATATATATATATATATATATATATATATATATATATATATATATATATATATATATATATATATATATATATATATATATATATATATATATATATATATATATATATATATATATATATATATATATATATATATATATATATATATATATATATATATATATATATATATATATACTATAATGCAATATTTATTACTTATTTATAATAAATCAATATAGAATATATTATACTCATAAGAGATATTTGCATTGTTGATTTTGATCCAAAAAATGTTTATATTTAGTAAGAAAGAACTTTTCTTTTTCCACACTCATTAAATTTTTTTATTAAATTAAAAGCCAGACTTTTGAAAATGTCGAAATTCACAGTGCAATCAGCATAAAGTGATAAAAACTTGGACTGCAAAAATTTAGCACATTCAGATACATTTTTACTCGTGAAAATATTAGTAAATTTAAAGATTTAGTGAAAATATTAGTAAATTTAAAGATTTAGTGAAAACATAGGTTTTTTTACCCCTGAAAATCCCGCACCTAAAAAGGCAAATTTAAAAAAATTAGAAATTTTTTTTTTTTATTAACTAATACTAACTTATTTCAGTTAAAAAATATTTAAAATATTAAAATTGAATTTTTTTTTCTGAAAAGTAAGTAAAATCCTATTTCCGCTTCGCGAAGCATAGTGCGGCGGGAGGCAAACATTCCCGACTTCAATTCCGCAGCCAGTTAGGAGACAGAAGCCATTAGAAGCCGCCTCCAAATGATTCTGTTTCCACAATTTTATTTTGGGGCGGCAACCAATGGCTTCCACTGGTGGCAAAATCAACTCAATTTTAATTAACAGAAAAATTAATAAAAAAAGAAAAGAAAAACGAACCCACAAGCAATATCAGCTTATTTCAAATATACAAAAATTTGTTAGTTACGTACTTCCAAAAGTAAAAAGCTAATCGGTAACCAATTTAGAAGCAAATCTTTAGAAATCTATTAAAAACATCTTTATAAATTTATAAAAAAATCTTTATTAATTTATAAAAAGAACGGAAAAAAACATCTAAGCTTTATCTAAATCTAAACAAAACTAAAATTTATAAAAAAAATCTTTATAAATTTATAAAAAAAACGGAAAGAAACACATCTAAACTTCATTTTAGTATTTGTGTTAATAAGATATGCACCATAAAATATAAGTATGGCAAAGAGTTATGCTGGCGCCGTTTCTTCCGGAAGTCCATCTGTGCAGAAGAAAAGTTACCTTAGGATTTCATATTTTCTTAGGAATTCATATTTTCGATTCAAAATCTATGTCCGAATCTTCTAATGAACTCGTGTGTCGATACGGTGATTTGAATTTTAGCATAAATGATTTTCTTTCGGCCTTAGCCAAGAAAAACTTACTCGGAATTGTATGGGGTGTCACGAGACACTACTCTAACAAGCTGTTTGAGTTTGCAGTCAAGGCCGGCGCGATAGGGGTGTGTGTGTGGGGGGGGGGGGTGTCACCCTCCCCCATCAGCGGCAAATTAGACCCTTAGTCTAATTTAAAACGAGGACCCTTTTTTTTTTTTTTTTTAGTCGGCAAAATGTATTGGCACCCCCCCACCACCACCACCACCACGTGACACCTACTCGCGTAGGCCCTGTTTGCAGTTATTAATAATTCCTCAGTGGCTACATTTCTTGAAATCGACATTGAAATCAAAGGTTGCGTTTTCAACAAAAATTTGACCGTAAGGTGCATGTTTTAGTGCAAAATATACCAATCGGCACACTAAGGAATGGCTGTCAAAACGCTATTATTCTACTGGGAAAACACCTAGCTGCAGAAAGAGGTGAGTTTGATACTTTTTACCTTCAAATGTGTAAAAGCCACGGCGAAGATATCTTTACTGGCAATGTCATTGTAATTATCAAAAATTGGAAAAATCTACATCAAAACCCCTTACCCTGATATGAAAACGTTGACGGTCTAACTCTCCGTTACAAACATAATGGCCAACCCGAACCAAACCCTCCAAAGCCAACAAACCCAACCGTTATACCCTCATCCTCAAACTCAATACCACCAACTGTTCCAAACATCATTGTTGCAAAGGTAGATATTGATGTTAACAGTGGCAGTGTTGACATCAATGTGGACAAAGTGGATATTGTAAAAGAAAGCCTTAATGAGGAAGAACGTCATCTAAACACACAAAAATTGAAAGCCACTCAGCCAACAAGAAAACGACTGGGGAAATCAGAGTGTGAAACCCCCAAAAAAGTAACCAACACCAGTGAATTAAAAGAAGCCATGCTCTTGGATGAAGTTTTTTTTCGAATGAAAAAGATGAGATGTGTTACGAAGATGAAACAGATGCATTAATTATTGACGAAGAATATGAAGAATCGTAAGACTATTTATTCTCCTTATTTTTCCCGTTTCAATTCTCTTTTTTTAGCTTTCTTCTCAAATCAGACTTTTTTTTCGAATTTTTTCGTTCTACAACTTTATTCTTTTTTTTCTGCAAAAAAATCTTTTTTTTTCGTGTTTTTTCGCACGAAACAAAAACTAATCGAAGAAGGAGAAAAACCTTCAAAATTTTTGTATAATTTGGAAAAAGTTTAACAGCGGAACAAGTCAATTACCGAAATTCGCAAGAATGACGGCACATTGACAAGTGAACCTGGTGAAATATTTAACTCCCTCGTTTCATATTATAAAAACATTTACACCAAAACGAATTTATGCAAAGACAGCCAAATCTATGTCTTGTCACACATCACCAAACTTTTAAGTGATAATGAAAATCAATTTTTAAACACCCGCCTAACCGGTGTGGAACTTAAAGAAGCCCTTTTTAAATTTGAAAACGGAAAATCTCCGGGTTATGACGGACTTCCAACTGAATTTTACAAAATTTTTTGACACATTTTAGAAAAAGGTTTTGAAGAACTTGCGTACGATATACTTTTTGTAGAAAAAAACACCAGCCACTCTATGAAAAAATCAAAAATGTCACTGATACCCAAACAAGGAGATCTAACTGAATGCAAAAATTGGAGACCCATATCCTTAATTGGCGCTGATTACAAAATAATCACAAAAGCGCTGGCCCTAAGACTTGCAAAAGTAATGGGGAAAATTATAGAACCAAATCAAACTTGCGAAATTCCAGGTAGAAACATTTTTTCAAATTTACATCTAGTACGTGACCTAATAGATATAACATTTTTTCAAATTTACATCTAGTACGTGACCTAATAGATAAAACATTTTTTCAAATTTACATCTAGTACGTGACCTAATAAATAAAAAATTGCGAGGGTCATACCTATTTTCAAGTCAGGAGACATATTTAATCCTAAAAATTACAGACCAATATCAATTCTTCCTTGCTTCTCCAAAATCTTAGAGCGAATTATGTATAACCGAATTTTGACTTTTCTAAATATGAATAATATTCTATATAACAAACAATTTGGTTTTCAACCAGGGTATTCAACTGACCATGCCATTATTAATATTGTTCACGATATATTTAAAGCATTTGATGAAAGTAAGTTTACCCTAGGAGTTTTTATAGATCTTAGCAAAGCCTTTGATACAGTAGACCATAATATTCTTATAAAAAAACTCGAAAGTTATGGTATTAAAAGTACATATTTAGAATGGCTTAAAAGTTATCTAAAAAATAGAAAACAATACATAGCACACGAAGAAATAAAAACTGAATACTTGACTATTACTTGCGGTGTTCCCCAAAGCTCAATTCTGGGTCCACTTTTATTTCTTATTTATGTAAATGATTTCCATAAGTTTTCAAACATTTTAAACTCAGTTTTGTTTGCAGATGATACAAATTTATTTTATTCTAATGGAGATATCAACCTTTTATTTAAAATAGTAAACAAGGAATTTTTAAAACTAGCGGAATGGTTTAAGGCAAACAAATTGTCTTTAAATTTAAATAAAACTAAGTATACTTTTTTCATAGACTTTACGGTAAAGAAAATATTCCATTAAAACTTCCTGATCTTTACATTGGCAACTCTAAAATAGTTAGAGAATCATCATTAAAGTTTTTAGGAGTGATACTTGACGAAAACATGACATGGAGAGAACACATAAGAACAATTGAAAATAAAACTTCGAAAAATATTGGCATACTATACAAAGCTAAGCAAATCTTAAACTAAAACTGCTTAAAAATCTTATATTTCTCCCTCATACATTGTTATATAAACTATGCAAATATTGCATGGTGCAGCTCTAATGTAAGTAGAGTTAAAAAATTGCTTAGTAGAAAAAAACACGCTGTCAGGATTATTTCAAATGCAGGTCGATTCGTACATTCTAAAGAACTATTCAAAAATCATCACATACTCAATGTTCTTCAGTTAAACCTTTATCAAATTCTTATTTTTATGTACAAACTACATAATAAATTAACTCCTAAAATTTTTAATACATTTTTCAATAAAATTAATCACGTGTACCCTACAAGATTTTCAAATTACAATTACGAGCAACCTAAAATACACTATTTGGCTACTAAATTTTCTATTGCCATTAGAGGTCCTAAATTATGGAACGTTTTATTAAATAACCAGCTGAAAAATTGTTCTTCACTTTCTCTATTTAAACAAAAACTCAAACAAAAACTTCTTAACGATGTTAATAAATTAAATTCTTTTTAAGATTCTTTTATCTTCTTTTTTAACAATTATCTTATTAACTAGTGTAACCAATTTAAATTTTCTTTAAATTATCCTATTAGCTTATCTTCAATTTAAGTGTGATTGCTTTTTTTTTTTTTTTGTTTTTTTTTTTGTTTTTTTTTTTTTACAATTTTCTTTTGATTATAGATTAGTAACTG